CCAGCATGAAGTGGTTAATGTTCCCATTATTTCTAATAATTCAATGATCAGTGAGAGTAACTCATGTTATATATAGGCCCAGTATCCAACGAAGGATTCTTTCAATCCCGAGCTTCAAAAACGGTTTTGGGAATTTTTAGTAGATTTCAAAATTGTGAAATAATATCAAATCAGTGCTCTGAAATATGTGATTGCCAAGCTTCTTCAGGGCAGGGAGATTGCCTGAAGAAGGTACTCAAGTTACCGAAGCTCGGCAATCACATAAAAGTATTTCAGAGCACTGATTTGATATTATATTCTTGTCGATATTCTGATGATGGCGTTACGCAGCCCTTCCATATTTCAAAATTGTGAAAGTTGGCTCTACGCTTCCGAAATTTTGCAGTTTTAATGGATAAAGGATATTGCTGCATCAACACTAAAACGCTCCTTACCTCTACTCCCTAGAATGTATGTAAAATCATATTGAAATTGGAGAATTGCGGAATGTTAGCGTTACTGAAAAACATTCCTTTAAACATGAAATCAATCGAGTAGATTTGGTGAAATCAAAGTATATTGACCCAAAAAGCTACATGTGGTTGTGAAAATAAAAGGGTTGGCGATTTAAGAAAACAAAATTTTTTTTAAAATCAGAATTTTAAAAGTTAAATCAGATGTTTTAGAAAAGATTTTTAACTTTTGAATTTTTGGTACATGTATGTCTCAAAATTGTCAGAAATATTAAAATACACCATTGCACCCATTAACAAGGAGTTCTCAGGAGTATGTACCCATTATCTAACAAAAACAATTTAGTACACACAGATGAGAGCACTGTTAGGTCATATTATAACAAGGACAATTTTAGGTCTTAAGTGTTTTTCCTCTTTTCTTTCCATTACTGACAATACAGGGTACCTATTACAACAAGGTAATTTGTAAAGTCCCAAGGACCTTAATATAATAGTGTTCCAATGTATTTGGAAATTTCCAGAAAACGTTTCACAAAAGTGTGATTTAAATCAGTGATTTTTAAAAATTGCAATTTAAATCAATAACTGAAATCAACATGATTTAAATCAGCCAATCCTGTCTGGAACCTATTCTATTTCAATTAAATATTGAATATGGAATCACCTTGTCCAAGCTTGAAGAGTTGATGTGAAATATCACCTGCTTTCCTAAATCTATTTTTGGTTTAACGTTAAATTTTGAAATGTATTTTTTTTAATCAAAGAAGCTAAAATGTCCCCCTCAAACATACATGGGTTTTGAAGACAAGGGAAATTTGGGTTAAGAGAATTGTAAAACCCATTAAAAATGAGCCTTGAATGTGAACTTCTGGACCAAGCCTGAAATACTGATGTTAAGCGCAATCATGCACACACATCAACTGAAGTTAACATACTATATCCAGCTATTTAATTTACCTATTGTTAAAAAGTGTTTTATTCAAATTATCACTTTTAAAACTCACACTTGTCATTTCGAATTCAATTATTTAATTTCTGTTTTCTTTTTATTGGATCACCAATAGCAATAGCAGCCATTGTAGTCTGGCCAACAGTCCAGTTTGTGATTAATATCATATTATTGTGTAACGTGAGAAAGGCAAAAACTAGTCATTTAATAGAGGCTGTGAACAACTGAAGATCAATAGGAGAGAAGCACACAAAATGGCTAAATGGTGAAGTTTCCAAACAAAAATGTCAGATATTTTTGCTAAATTCCACAGAAATGTATTTATAAATGCATTTTGCTTAGGCTATTATCAGCTTAGGCTATTATCAGACAAGCCGGTCTTGAACAAATTTTGACCAGCCAAGCACATATTTATTCCTTTTAAGTCCTTGTGATGGTATATGGAAAATGTCCATACTTGAATGTCATTCTGACAATGTGTAAACAGGCCCCTCTATCAATTTCAACAGTTGCTGGACTGCTTTGGGAAGGCATGTACATATACTATACCTTTTCATGCTCCACCGGGGGATTGGGAGCAGGTCGTCTTCTTTTGACATCTGCTGAAGCCTCAACACGTTTCTAATCAATCAGGAAAACAAATAAATTAAAATCTAATAAAATTTCATGACAATAGAATAGTCCCCATAACGTCAAACGACCTGGGCTCAAATACTGGTGCCACAATTGTGAGGACTATAAATACGGTAGTTACTGTGGGGTCAATTCATCACTGGGACAACTGTTTGTTCCTACAACTCATTTGCGAATTTTCTTACAAAAAGATACTGTTCCCTAAACAGTGTTCTCACCAGCCTTTTATGTTAGCGTAGGGGTGAGCTCTGGGGGGGGGGACAAGTGGGTACTGGACATTATTGGACACCTGAGGGCACTGTTCAAACACTCACATAACACATGTTTAAAGTTATTGTGTTCACAGAGCTACAGGTACAGCTACAGGTATAGGGCCTATACGTGGCAGTTATTATATTTAACAAGATATTAAATACTTGTGCTTCATTTTTTGTTTTATGAAATTACAATATATCTCTCCTAGCAGCAAGTAGTGCATCAGTGTGATTATTAGGATGTGAGAAGATTGACTTGATTAACTACATACAGTAAACTCTGGCTGAGTCAACACCCTCAGGCCCCCCAAATTTGTGACGACTCATGCAAAGGCCAACTTCAAATACAAGTCCTCATTTTGACAACTTACACAAAATGGTGACCTATGCATACATATATGTAAATGTACATGTATTTGATTGGGTTGCAATGCTCAAAATATCTTGTCCAAGCATGGAGGAAGGAATAGACACAA